TTACCTTACTCCTTTCAGGAGCTTGTGAACTATTAACTACTTCTGCATTTTTGAAACAATTTATTTCCTAGGCTTCTGTGATACCACATGCCCCTGGGTTTCTTTTTACATATCTGCTTCTTCTTTTTTCTTTTTAGTCTTTCATTGTGTTGATGTTCCTTTGGATGGGTCCTAGTTTTCAGTCCTCAGACCTAGTTTAGTTTTCAGTGCTCATTACGCCTAAACTCTGCTGGGGCAAAATCTCAAACACTTTCTTGGTATTACCTTATCTACCCCAATAAAAGACAAACCCCCAATGACCTTAGAGAACAGAGGGAGATACTTCATTTTGATCTTTAAAAAGTCCTTCATATCACTGGATGCTCTCAATTATTTTGGAAGAAAATGCTTTTGGGGGGAATATATATTAGCACAAAGTGATTCATTCAGTGCTCAAATACAAGCCACGTGACAGAATTGGTAAGAAAAGATATAAATTTAACACAGATTTAGAAATTACTGCTAGGGAGATACCTTCTCACTTACAAGTGTTAGATGTCCTTGTCAAGAAGCCTTTAAAAAATCACTACAAAAAGCAATATGATTACAGGATGAATAATGTAGTGTGATTAGAGATTTGTGATTTAGAATAAAGTCCCCAGTGCCAGCATCATCTGTAAAGTCAAAAACTTAGTTGGAAGTGAAGTTAATGTGTCCTGGAAAACTATATCAGAGATTCAAAATATGATTGTGGTAATGTCAGAGACACCTTGAATAATTTCATTAAAATTGTTTTTGAAATTATATTTTCAGGGGCTGGGGTCGTGGCTCAGTGGTAGCGCACTTGCCTAGCATGCGGGAGGCACTGGGTTTGATTCTCAGCACCACATACAAATAAATAAAATAAAGGTCCATCAACAACTAAAAAATATTTAAAAAGAGAAATTATATTTTCATAATATATAAAGTAAGTATAACTAAATTTATACATTAAATATTACAAGTAGTGTTCCAATTGTTTCATCTATATTTTTAAAAGTTTATATATTCAAGTTGGCTGCAAAGGTTTTTTGGGGGTGAGGGGAGAGATAGAGTTTAATTGGAAAAATAGATTTACCTTATATTCTGGTATATATGTTATATACTGATGACTCATCTGTAGCCAGTCTCCCACCTAAACTCCAGCCCTATATAACTAACAGTTCTCTGATAATTCTACAGGATGTCCAACAGGTACTTTAAATTCAACTTGTCCAAAGTTACACCCACCTTCCCATCTACCTATTCCCCTCTTGTTGTTCCCCTTAGTGAATGGCACCACCTTCATTCAGTTGCCTAAACTGAAACTTGAGTCACCCACATTTCCTTTGTTTCCCATAAAGCCCTGTTGTTTCTATCATCTATCTCCTAATCCCTCTTATCTGTTCATTTCCCTTAATAACCTCTGTTTTGCTCCAGGCCTCTATCATTTCCTCCCCATTCTACTATAACAAAATCTGAACTGGGTTTCTTGGTTCCCTCTCCTGCCAATCTGCCTTCCAAAAAGCAGCCTGAGTGATCCGTTGTAAATGCAAATTTGAGGTCAATCACCACTGCAGGCTTGGCTAACTCTGACAAGTCTTCAGGTGTCAGTTTAGAGACCAATGCCTCTTTTCTAATTCCCCATTCTCCCGCTTTACAATTTAGCCAAGTTAGATGCTATTTCTGTTTCATCACATCCCATCTTTCCTTAACACAACAGTCTTCACACTTCTTCGTTTTAATTGTTTATCTTTTCTGCTAGACTGGGAACTCATGTCAACAAGGGCTCATCATTGTGTTCCCTTAACACAGGGCAAGCATTGAGATATTTTGAGTGCTTTATAAATATTAAACGAATGAACCAATAATTTTGTTATTTCAGCATCCAGTACAATACTTGGTAAAAACAGTTCCTCAATCACATTTGTTGAATTAATCGACTGCTGTTGGACTAAAGATATATGATTAAACAACATGTAACAATTAATTTTGTGCAGGCTTTGTCCTTAAGGAACATATATTCTTCTTAATTAGGTTTAATCAGAGATGGTAGAACAGGTGGCTTTTGGAAGGGAAAGGGAGAGGAAAAAATTCTTACCTAGTGAAATGTAAAGGGCAAATGTAAAAATATTAATATCTGTGCAAAAGAAACTTGTGTTCTTAAGATATGCGTAACTCCTAGTTGAAATCTGCTGTAACTAGGAAGTGTTCTGTCCTGGGATTTGCTAGTCAGGGGCTAGCTTTCTTCTCTACCTTGGATATTGGGATTCAGCCAAGGAATCAGCTGCAGAATCTCATTACTGGCAGCAATTAAACACTGAACTATATTGCTTCCTCAATGATTTAAAAAAACCCCCCAAAACCAAAAAAAACAAAACATCATTTTACTATAAAGAATAAGATTCCTACCAAGTTTTATATTCACGGGATTTAATTTTTCATTTAATTTTTATATCAAAATATATTTAGAATATATTTCACAGGAATATTTAGTCTAGTTATTTTTGGCCTGCACTTCCATAACTTACACTAACATACAATGGACACTTTGTTTTCTTTGCTCTAAAGTTTCTTTGTGCACTATTCCTTGAACATGGGCCTCATGTTCCAACTTCACTTAGATGAAAAAAGTGTTAATTTCAGCAATGATATTAAATCTCTTTATAGACTCATAGTTTAGACTTACATAAAAATATGTTGCTTAGTCAGACATTTGTGGACCTAAGTATTTATTGAAATTCTTGTTCTGGAGAATGAGAATGAAGAATGATATACCTTGTTAAACAAAGGAGAGGTTAATGACTCCAAATGATTTTAAAATAGCATGTCAACAAGGACAGTAATATCAAAATGAAGTAAAGGATCTGATTTGAAGTATGTGCGGGAGTTAACTTTACAATCTTACTCTTGAACTGATCTGTAACTTTTTTTTTTTAAATCTGGGGTTCCATCTATTAGTGGTTTATTAGTAGAATGGCATTTGCGAAATTTGCAATTTAATCACAAATCAGTAATATGATTTAGCCACCCTATTTTACAAAAAGTGCTTTAAACCTTTTAATACAAACAATATACTCAGTGGGCTTATAAATTAATTAGACAGCTCACAGAGGTCATACATGAAATTAGCCACATATATATTTTTCTAAATTTGGAGATAAATGTAAGCCTCATTTTGGAAGTCACAATACACACTGTAGAGTTTTAATATAATGAAAAAAATTTAGCCTTAAAAACCATAGCTGAAAATTAACATTTGCAACACCATTTATAGTTTCCAAAGAGCTTTTCTCATTAATTATCTCAGAAAACTGAATAATGATGTGATTATTAAAGGTTAATTAAGCAAATACTTGTGAAGTAATTGGGAGGTAATCTATTTCTAATTTAACAGGTCAATCAGGGGTATTTAGGAAATATTTTTTTCTGGTTAACTACGCTAACCAAAACAAAAAAGATATTTAAATGGTTTCCCTTGTGGGTTATTCCCACAATAAGCATTTGTTTGTTCTTCTAAGCCAATTGTTTCAAAGAACTGAAATGAGGGTCCCTAATTTCACTGTTTTGGTCATTGAAAAAGGTTTTATGAGCTCTTCCTCCCCAATGTTAATCCACACCTTATGTTGTTTATTTTGGCACTTCGGAATAAAATATAGAAAGTAACTGGAGAAGACACAGGTGATACGTTAGAGATTAACCATTTTCTCGTGGAAAGCAACGCATCTTGATTATGACTCTACCGACAAGTGAATACAAATTCAACTCATCAACAACCAAATAGGACTGTCCAAGTGTATGACTACACAAAGAAATTGTCTTAAGTTTCCATAGGTGCAGTTTATCACATGAACAGTATTCTCCTCAGTAGAACTAAAAACTGCTTTCTCCCAACTTTGGGTAGCATGGGTGCTGCCTCACGATTACCAAGTAATTTAAAAATCGTATATCCGGCTAGTTCCTGGTCTACCGGCTAAAGACGAGTCCCAGGTAAGAAAAGGCGAAATGCTCTGCCAGGGTACAGGTAGATGAAAGGTTGCAGTTATGACCAGAAAATTAGCCAGGGGTCGCGGAGCTCGCAGGAGTTGGAAGGCTGGAAATCCAGCACCTTTGTCTGGGCCCTGGCTCCCTGGACCCCGGCCCCGTGGTGCGGGCGGGTCCCGGCACTACCCCTGGAAATGGGCGGCCAGGGCGGTCCGGCCTGGAAGCGGGAGGTCAGCGTGGCGCGGACGGCCCCCTCCCACAGGAGCTGTGCCAGGTCCCAGCAAGGGCCGGGCGGCTCGCTATTGTTTTTGGCGAGCACATAAATCCACGCGCCGACCCTCTGCGAACCCAGGTTTCCTCCCGGAGGCCATTCGGTTTCCTCCGAGGCCCTATATAGAGGCCCCGCGACCAGGCTAAGCAGAGGTGTGCGTCCGCTCCGGCCTCCCAGACCAGCCTGGGTTCCGAGCTCCTCTCGCCTGCAGGTCTCTGTACACCGAGGCGTCCGGGGAGGTGAAGGGGAATTACTCCCCCGAGCTAGGAGCCCGAGGCGGGAGCGCACGGGCGGGAGGAGGAGGAGGAGGAGGATCGGCTTCTCCGGGGTTTCCCTGACGCCAGCAGCAGCGCCCGGCGCGCGCACCCCGTGCCCGTCCACGGCTCCGGGGAGAAGGGGGAGGGGAGCGGGCCCGCCGCCTGCCCTCGCGCCGCCGCCGCCACGGCCCGCGAGGCGGCAGCCGGGATTGGAGCTGGCGGGCCGCGCGCAGCGCCAGGCGGTGCAGGAGAGGGAGGCGCGCGTGCGCGTGTGCGCGCCCCGGGCCCCCGCCCGCGGTCTCCGCCCCCCTCGCGCTGGTGTGTGGAGCCGGAGTCGGCGGCGGGTGGCGGCGCCTGGAACCCGGAGACCTAGCCACCCCCCGGCCCCGGAATGTACTGACTCCCCTCTCTGCTCTCCTCCCCTCCCCGCCCCCCTGCAGGAGGGAGGCGCCCCCGAGTCTCCCCTCCCGCTAGAGGGGCCGCGCGGGCCGGGCCGGGCCGTGCTGGAGCAGCGGCGGCTGCGGCCGCGGGAGCCGAGCCTGCAGCGAGGGACCGGCTGAGGCGCGCGGGAGGAAAGGAGGCGAGCGCTCCGCGGCGCTGTCGCCGCCGCGGCGGCTGCTCACTCTCGGGGAAGAGATGGCGGCGGAGCGGGGAGCCCGGCGACTCTTCAGTACCTCCTCCCTCTGGCTCTACTGCCTGCTGCTGCTGTTCGGGCGCCCGGCGCCGGGCGCTGCGGCCGCCAGGAGTGGCTCCCCGCCGCAGTCCGCAGGTAAGCGGAGGCGCGGGCCTGGGGCGCGAGGTGGGGGCAGGGGCGCGGCACCGGCTCCTGTGGTGGCGGCGGCTGCGGTGTTTTTTGTTTAGGATCCAGGAGGAAACGTGCAGGAACTTCTTTGCCTCGGCTTCAGTGGCCGAGAAGAAAGGGGATCTTGCGTGGCGAGAGTGGTCTAAGCGGGAGGGGCCGCCTCCGGGGCCAGGTCTGGGGCTCCGGGGGTCTAGTTCTGCGCTTTGTACGGGAGGCAGGTTCACCCCTCTCCTCTCACCCCTCCCCCAGGCTCATCCCACTTGTAAGAGTGGGACATTCTTGTGCTCGCACAGGCACCAGTAGAGGCCACTACACACCTCATTAAATAAACAATCGTACGGCCAATTCATTAATTTTCAGGAAAGGAAGAGGGAGGGGGCTTGAATCCCCCTGAATCCCTGGCCAGGGATTTCCCAGCTTCTGCAGCCCCAGAGAAGCGCGGGGCCAGTCTCGGGAGACTCCTCGCGCAGGGATTGGAGACCGAGTCTGCGGAAGAGAGGGGGTGTCTGGGGCACACATGCATCCTCAATGACCAGTGGTGTTGACTTAACCATGAGGACGCCTTGGAGAGTGTCTCCAAGTGACTATCTTTTTCGTGTTTCCGTTATAAAATGCCTCTTTCCTGGGGATTACAACTGTATTTACAGCCTGTTAACCTGGGGAATTGTGCAAGCATCGGATTTTAAATACTTGTACATTGTTTTCAAGTGACAATATATAAATATATTGAACCTCAAAAGTCATTTTCAGTTTCATTTTTGCATATCATGGATTACTGGAATCACCTGGATTCCTATTTATTTAAGGGTGGGCAGTTAATAAATGCAGCTTTCGGGTATAGCTGAGGAGTGGGATACACTCAGCAGTTGAAGGATAAAATAGCATGTAATCTGTTAAAATTGTTTGACCAGGGCGGTATACCATAAAACTTGACAAAACTTTCACTTACTTTCATGAGATATGAAAATTTTACATTCAGAAGACATCTGATTAGGCACAATGGCAACTTAAAATTACTAAACCAGTACTTGTTTCTTGTTTCCACCTGATTTATATGAAATATATTTAAAGTCACTTCGCAGTGTAACTTGACTGATCAACTTTTCATTTCCTTGCAAAGCGCATGTTGGTCTGTCTCTCTCTCTGACTTTGGCCAGGGTTAAAGAACAGCTTTTAGTCTTAAGTACCAGTAGGTATTATCTAAACAAGTACATAAACAAGTGCTAATGTCACATTAGTATCATTGATGTCATCATGTGCACTTGTACATTCAGCCTGTACAAGTTTAGGTCACACTTTTCAGTCCTGAAATATAGGTAATTGATCCATACTTTCCTTTCCTGAGGATGGTCAAGAGAAATGCAGCTGCCTTGGAAAACAAGTTTCTCTTATTCTTGTTTAATTTTATATGTAATTTTGCATATGAATCATCGTGTGTGTTTGAGGTAATAGGTGGAGTCTGTTTAAAGTTTTGTTAGTAATTTTGTAAATAAATGAGTGCTGGTAAGTTTATTAGGTTAATAGAAATAATGTAAACAGCCTCTTTGGAAATGATCTTAACATCTGTTTTGACATTAATTCAATCAGTAGGTTTTTATTTTGCACTGATGAGGTGCAAGGCATGTGTTCTCTGTCTTCATGGATCTTACAGTCTGATGTGTAATAGGAAAGATAGCCAATCAACTACTAATTATATAATTAAGCAATTGTGATAAGCACTACAAAGGAGAATAGGTTTTGAGAAAGTGGATGTTGGAGTGACTTACCTAGTTTGTGTCAGGATGTCTCAGAGGTGAGACTGAGAGGTAATAGGGTAGAGGTGGAGAGGCTCACAACTAATTAAATGTGAGGATGAGTTTACAACACAGGTCTTCTGATTCTCTGTCCAGAGTGTTTTCAGTATACCACTCTGCCTCATTTCAAAAGTCAAAGGAATAACTGCAATGATGGGGGATTGGTCAGCTTTGTCATGAGCTGTGGAAAAGATCAAGGGAATGGAGAACTGAGCAGCTGGAACAAGCTCTCAGTAAGTAAGATGTCGTTTGTCAGTGCTTTTATTTATTTATTATTTTTGTAGGGTGGTAGACTCAGAAGTCTTTTTGTAGGAGTGGTAGGAGAGTGGAAATATTCAATTGTAAAAGGAGGAAAAAACAGATTTGGGACCACTGGATAAACAATGTTTTTACATCTTTGGGTAAACATATGAACAGTAAAAAGCATATGAGCCACGAGGAGGTGGAAAAAGAAGTAAAGAATAGAAAAGCTGATGGTAGAAAATGGTCAGCAGTGATAGAGGTTGGAAATTAGAAGGCCTCACAAATGGGCTTTAGGAGGAAGGACCTACTGAAGAGATTTGTATGGATTTTGGGGAAGATGACTTGACAGAGCACTTTGTGAATTCCAGGTCTTCTCATTCTGAATGGACATCCTTCATTCAGGACCCTGTAGCTTCTGCTGAGCCATTTTTTTGATGATAAGATTTATTATCTCACAAGGTAGACCATTCCTGTTTTGAAAAACTTCATTAGAAGATTTTGCTTTTTTGGGCTGGGGTTGTGGCTCAGCGGTAGAGCACTTACCTAGCAAGTGTGAGGCCCTGGGTTTGATCCTCAGCAACACATAAAAATAAATAAAATAAAAGTATCAAAAAAAAAAGATTTTGCTTTTTACTGTTCATTTAATATAGTGTTTTTTCCCCTTCATTCTGCTTGAATTTTTTTCCTTTCCTCTGCCTTTATCAGAATCAGCCCATTACTTGGCTCATTTTTCATTGATTCTTCATTTGTTTTTCAAGTTTTTCTTTCATCCACTTATTAACTATTGGTATCTAAAGTTTGTCTCATTCTGTTTATTCTCTCCATGTCTTCAGTTGCTACCTGTAACCTGGTGTCTCTCCTAGTCCACTTTTCACATGCTACTTGGCACTTTCATTGAATAGATAGGTACCTTGCATAATGCAGAAGTCCTGCTGGAATGAGCTTTCTGGAATATTTTTTAAACGTATCACTCTTCTACTTAAAATCTCTTAGTGTTCCATAGCTTGAGTATTAGTCTAACCCCTTGGCATGGAGATTTTGAAGACCTTTGTGTTCTCTACTACCACGCTTGCAGCCCTAATTTAAAGCCTCTTCTCTTGTCACCCATAATATGTACCTTGTGTTCCACCACTTCAGATTAATTGCATAGCTTTATGTCTGCATGCCTTTGTACATGCTGTTCTTTCTTCCTGCTAAAGGCACTTCCCATCTTGTCCACTTCTGAAACCCATTTCATCAGTGACCTTTTTTTTACCAACCCCTTCTCTCAGAGTTAATAGTTATCATTCTGTGTTCCCATAGCTTTCTGAGCCCTTTTTGTGTCGTGTTACTTATTTTCTTATCCCCTCTGCTAGCTGTAACCTCCTGAGGGTTGGCAGTTGTCTTATTCACCTTTGTATCCCCACCCCTAGCTGAAGCATTTGGCACAGAGTAGATAACCAACGAATGTTTGTTGAATGAATGTTGAATTGCCATGTGTATGTCTGTATGTTTTGGGTACTGGGGATTGAACTGTGGGGCACTTGGCCACTGAGCCACATCCCCAGCCCTGTTTTGTATTTTATTTAGAGACAGGATGTCACTGAGTTGCTTAGCTTCTTGCTTTTGCTGAGATTAGCTTTGAACTCTTGATCCTCCTGCCTCAGCCTCCCGAACTGCTGGAAATTGCCTTTGTTTTTAATCCCCAGGGCCATACAGCACAAATTTGATTCCTTTATATGATACCTTCAGTCTCTAATGATAGAATTCATATATTCTGTATGCAGTGTACCTATGTATGTCCTGTCCCCTCCTCCTTTTTAAGTTGATCATCCTTAATTTCTTCAGCCACTCTTCACTGGGACCACTGGATAAACAATGTTTTTACATCTTTGGGTAAACATATGGCCTGTGGAGGTGGAAGAAAAAGTAAAGAGTGGAAAAGCTGATAGCCTTCTGACTCCAAATGAGCTTGGTCATCCTCCTAGATATGCTGCCATTTTAGTACTTATTCATTTTTGCCATCTTTGGAAAGGTCATTGATTTTTGTTGCGTCCTCTGTTTTAAAAAAAAGGACTAATGCCCTGTTCTGCCTGTTAGGATGAGGTAAAACAGGGATCAAAGATTTTTAAGATGCATGCTCAAAAGAGATAAGAAATATGACTTTCTTAGTAAACTGTCGGAAATTAATATGTGATATGGGATAGTGAATAAAGGACTTGTGTATGGAGGCAGAGGATTTGGGGGTATGACTCATAGTTCTTAACTTCACATATATATTTGTAAGTTGGGGGCTATAGGCAGGCTAGAATAATACCTACATAACTGGATTGTCAGAAAAATTAAGTGTAAAATATTATAAATAGTAAATTATGTAGAATGGTTTTAATGTTTTTGAACTTTAAAAATATGCTATAATTCTATTAAATTATTGAAAGTATAGCTTTTTTTTTTCTCTGTTGTCTTAATTGATCATTGTTGTTTTCTGCCTTCTGAGTTTTCTCTATACCAGGAAAATTTTGGCAGTAATGTTAATAAATCTCATTATTGGGAGCTTTTTCTTTTCTTTAATTATTTTATATATTTTATTTTTTTAGTTGTAGATGGCCGCAATATCTTTCTTTCTTTCTTTTCTTTTCTTTTTTTTTTGATGTGGTGCTGAGGATTGAACCCAGTGCCTCATGCATGCTAGGTGAGCTCTCTACCACTGAGCCACAACCCCAGCCCCTATTGGGAGCTCTTTCTAATAATCATTTTTCCAAATACTTTACTTGATTATTGACTTTCATGTGATTGGGAGGTATATACCATGACATTGGTAAGTGTTTTAGCTTTTGGGTATATTTTAATTTCTTGATATCCATAACAGGAGAACAGGTAGAGCACATGACTGTAGGTAAGATCATATTAACCAGAGAGCTAAGTGAGGTAAAGATGAAAAGTTTTGTTTAA